ATTCAGTTATGCTCCGTATGTATATATTTAAGCATCATGTGTGATGTGCTTTCCTTTTACTTGCTCCTTTTACGAATATGTGGACTTAAAACGATATAAACGATATGCCCTGTGGTGGGCAGAGCACAGATAGCTTATTGTATAGCTTTGTGCTTAACTTCAAACAAACAAACAAGCCTTTTATGATAACATATTTTATTTTGTTTTATATAGAGTTTAAGTTTGTATTATAAATTATTTATTTTATTATCATTTTGTCTATTTTGTTGTTGTTTCATTTTAGGTTAGTATTTTGTTGGGTTTTATTTTGGCATTATGGATACATTTTAGTTTTTACTAACATGCTTTATTTCATTTTAGACTCTAAAAGGTTTGTGCTTGTACCAAAAGTGTGTTTTGTAAAGTATCTATTTTTACTGTAGAATGATGTGTTGTTTGATGCTGTTTTATTAACATGTGCAACTGTGGAAAAGGGCTTTGATACAGCTATCTGTTTTTCCTTTATTTATTTTATTTGTTTCACTTTTTGTTTTAAAGGGCTTACGCTGCATTTTCTTTTGATTCTGATATGTTATGCTCTGTACTTTGCTTTTCATAAAGAGTTTACTTTGTTGATTAGAATTTGTTGTATTTTAGTTTTATTTAGTTCTGCATTATGGTACTTAGTGAACTTTCTCATGCGAAAGACTTCTGAAAAGTTGAACACACTATGTAAAAGTAGACAGTAATCTTTTCTACTGGCGGGTTGGTTGAAACCTTGAGGTTACAACCCTCTCCTTATCTATGGATTGGAATGACCAATAATAATGTTAGTAACATTGTAGAATTGTTAATATAATGCTATGTTTTCTCAGTGTGAAACAGATTTTTCTTCTTCTCAGAAGTCTCTGGAAGCGCAAGCAGATGAGACAGTGGGCAAACTAGAAAAGAATGCAAACTACGGGGCAGTACAGGACCTCGCTGAACTGAGAGGTATATTGTCATGGATCGTGAAGGAACCTAGAATTGTGCATACCTGATAAACAACTGCCACGAATATCTTGCCACTTGGCCACTGGATCAACAACTGACTATTGGTCTGAGAGTCATAGTCCCTGAGTTAAACTCCCTGTTAGTGAGGCAAAACATATTTTGCCATAATGTTTAAAAGTATGTTGAAATAAGACTTAGGCTATTTCCTGGAGCATTTTAGGTAGTTAACTGCTTCGAAAGAGTGATCTCAGAAGTAGGCATTCCAATGGTTGATCCTGAACTAGTATGTTCTAGCAATGGACTCCATCAAGTACCTAGATGAGACACAACTGGGAAACAGTCATGGCTGAGTTGTGCCGACAGTTCAGCCTAGTGAAAATTCAAACAATCTATTTGGCCTATTTCAAGGCTCAGAAGAGAGCATCTGAAAGTGGTCAATTATGCAGATGATATGCACAATAAAGCATACCTAGTGGTTCTGATTTTCGATTTTAACCGATAAACACTAATAAAACACCTCTGATACAAAAACATGAAATTTGTATATATCCAATAAACATTGAACAAAACAATGGAAGTGATTACTTAATTCATGTTAACTTCACCTCTTTGTTTAACAACAAGTAAAAGCTTGGAATGCTCTATTCTTTAAACAAATGTTTAAACAACTCTATTCTATTATGTACCAGCTGCCCAGTGTCGGCTAACAATACGAAGAATTAAATTGTGGCGAAATGCTAAAAGTTCTTCAAATACCCATAGAATGATAGGTTTCTTTTTTGTGAGTGTAAAAACACTTAAATACACCATTTCGATTTTCGATACCTCACTACTATAAAGGCTTGGTTTGGTCTGATATTTCATTGGTAGTGTCCAAAGTCACTGATGATGAGTGGAATTCTCCGAAACTAGTCTGGCTCACAGACACACCCCAAATGAAAAACTAGACCATTCCAAGCTTTTACTTGTTGTTAAACAAATGTAATGTAATATGTTTAATTCCAGCCTTCGATTTCCTGTTTTGAGACCTGGCATGGCCTGGTGATTAGGGCACTCGACACATAATCTGCGGGTCATGCGTTTAAATCCCTCTCGCCAGACATGCTCTCCTTTTCAGCCGTGGGAGCATTATAATGTGACAGTCAATTCCACTATTCTTTGGTAAAAAAGTAAGTAACCTAAGAGTTGGCGATGGGTTGTATTGACTAGCTGCCTTCCTTCTAGTTTATCACTGCTAAATGAGGGACGGGTAGTGCAGATAACTCTCGAATAGCTTTGCGCTAATTTAACAAATAAACAATTTCATGTTTTATGAGTGTGTCTCTTTAAAAGTTTATATATATATATATTTCCGAAACATATGTTGTATGAAAGGAATTTATTTGTTAAGATTTTATGTTAAATGTTTATATAACAGGTTTTTGGTATGATAGTTTATTCTTTAATTTTTCATTATTGTTTTTTTTTTTCTGTTTGGTTGTTCAAAATTTTTGAATAAGCTTTAATGCATAAGTAAAATGTAATGGTTTATTGGTTGAAGGTTATCTTTTTTATAGTCGCTGTGAAATTGTATTTGTAACTCGTATGCATTCATTGTTATAGGTTCTTACTTTATGACTGTAAGTCTGAGTTAAAGGGTATTTTAATGTTTCTTTGATTATTATACATATATGTGTGTGTATTCAAGAACTTGATGTATAATTTCAATGTTCAAAGTATATTGTATTTTATATAACATTTTGTTATACACGTATGTTTCACCTGTCAGTGATGGGTTGTTTTCTTATCTTAGATTCTAGGTTGTCAGTATCGGTAATTTGAGTATCTAATTCTTAAGAAACTACAGACTGTACTTGGACATCGCAAATATCTAATTTGAACAAATGCTGCATTCAACATACCACGTGAC